GGTAAGTGAGTAGCAGTTTATCATACTGAATGAATTAATTATACAAATGGGGCATATTCCTGTCATATTTTAATTCAATTGACATCTAATTAACATTTCATATGTATAAATCTACGACGATATATATTCCGGAGTCGCTTTTGGGTGAAAATACTTATTATTGATAATTCAATTCGCCTGCTTACCATAAAATACAGTTTTAATACAGTACTGTATTTCACTACCACTCAAACTCTACCAAAATCCTTATTATTATATGTCTAAGAAGTAAAACACCTACATTAATCAAAGGAATTTATATATAATCAATAAATATGTTATTTTTCAAAATGTAACTTTTGACAATGTAATAACTGCTCCTATGAATACTCTTACTATCAGAGTCATTAGCAGTGGCAATGTTATAATTTTCGTTATTACAATTACTGATGTTCTTTCAATCATTATCATTCTTATCATCTTCATTTATCTCCTTATCATTTACCGTATATAAATATTGATTCTATCATCAGCATTATTTTTAATATCATCAATGATATCTGTCATTATTATTATTATTGCTGCCAAAATCATCAATGTCAATTCACTATCATCATCATCACAATTATCATTATCACATTCATAACAGATGTGACCATCATTAATGTTGTCATTATATCTTATATTATCATAGTCATAATTATCACTGAAATAACACTAACAGAGCTAATCATTAATATTATCATTACTAGTGCTGTTGGCGTTGCTAATGCTATTATCAGTATCTTCATCATTATCATTACTTTTTTCACTATCAATATAATCCCTATTTTCATCATTACTATCACTATTTTATTATTATTACCATCAGTATTGCCACTAGTATTAGAATTAACATTATAATCAGTCGAACGACATTACTTCTTATCAAAAATCCTTTTTATCCGTATTTTAAATACAGCTATCGCCATCTTATCACCAAGGAAACGAATATCATCGCCGCGTTTTATCATTATCATCATCAAACTGGTATCATGTTATCTTCGCTTATCTTTGGATTACCATTACTTGCAACTTTGTCAACATTATGTCAACAATATTTTCAGTGAATCATTCTCTGATCGTGATTTTTAACAGAAAAGAAAATAAGGGAAGAAGAAAAAAAATCAAAAAGAAATGAAATAAAATATGAAGGAAAACGAAACGGAAAAGAGAAAAATAAGGGGAAATATGACATAAAAGATGAAAAAAAATAGAAATGAAAAGAAGGTAAAAGATTTTATAAAATAGGAATTGTGATAAAGAGTGGGAAAAATATGTAGAAAAACTCGACTCAAAAACTATAATACAGAAAGAAAGAAAAAAAAAAGATGAATGAAAAAAAGACAAAAAATAAATAAAAACACAGCTTCAAATAATTACTTAATAATTACTCGAAAAGTGAACAAAAGAAAAAAAATCTCTCTATATATATATATAATTCAAAGAAAAATACACATGAAATTTAAACTACCACAAAAAAATCAACAAGAAACAAACCAAAAAAAAAAAAAAAAAAAAAAAAAAAAAAAAAAAGCAAATATAACTGAAATGACCCGACAATTAGCTATGCAAAGTCTCTCTCCAAGAAAAGTATTACAAGCAGTTTTTTCTTTTCTTTTTTTTTTTTCTTTCTTTCTTTTTCACTTTTATTTCTGAAGTGGAAAAAGGAACTAAGAAGAGCCCTTGGGCGGGGTGGGGGGGTGGAGGGGGGGATTTAATGTTGATGCAAAAATTACGCAAAGGAGGAAGCGTGCAGTGAGAGGGAGAGGGAGAGGGAGAAAGAGAAAGAGAGAGAGAGAGAGAGAGAGAGAGAGAGAGAGAGAGAGAGAGAGAGAGAGAGAGAGAGAGAGAAAGAGAGAAGAGAGAGAGAGAGAGAGAGAGAGAGAGAGAGAGAGAGAGAGAGAGAGAGAGAGAGAGAGAGAGAGAGAGAGAGAGAGAGAGAGAGAGAGAGCGGGGGGAGGGGAGAGGGGGGGAGAGGGAGAAAGAGAGGGAGAGGGAGAGGGAGAGTGAGAGGGAGAAAGAGAGAGAGAGAGAGAGAGAGAGAGAGAGAGAGAGAGAGAGAGAGAGAGAGAGAGAGAGAGAGAGAGAGAAAGCGCGGAGGGAGGGGGAGAGGGGGAGAGGGAGAGGGAGAGGGAGAGGGAGAGAGAGAGAGAGAGAGAGAGAGAGAGAGAGAGAGAGAGAGAGAGAGAGAGAGAGAGAGAGAAAGCGCGGGGGGAGGGGGAGAGGGGGGGGAGGGAGAGGGAGAGGGAGAGGGAGAGGGAGAGGGAGAGGGAGAGGGAGAGGGAGAGAGAGAGAGAGAGAGAGAGAGCGCGGGGGGAGGGGGAGAGGGGGAGAGGGGGGAGAGGGAGAAGGAGAGGGAGAGGGAGAGAGAGAGAGAGAGAGAGAGTGGGGGGAGAGGGAGAGGGAGAGGGACAGGGAGAGGGAGGGAGAGAGAGAGAGAGAGAGAGAGAGAGAGAGAGAGAGAGAGAGAGAGAGAGAGAGAGAGAGAGAGAGAGAGAGAGAGAGAGAGAGAGAAAAGAAAAAGAAAAAGAAAAAGAAAAAGACAAAAAGAAAAGGAAAAAGAAAAAGAAAAAAAGAAAAAGAAAAAAGAAAAAAAAGAAAAAAGAAAAAGAGCGAACAAGAGAGAGACAGAAAAAGACAAAGAGAAAGAGACTAGAGAAAAAAATAAAAAATAATAAAAAAAAGAGAAAGTAAGACAAAACCGCACCAGCAAACAGAGAGAACGCAACTGACCTCCTCCTTGAGCGCCGGTCTGATCGTGTGAGCAAGCTTGGTGAGATTCCTGGCATATTCCATGTCCAGCTGAGCGCGCTTCTCGATGTAGGAGATCACGTCCTTGGCGTATTTGCTCCAGACCTTGGCGCGGTGGAGGGCGTGGTCAACGCCTGCGGAGGGAGGGCAGACGGGGCGTTGGTGGAAAAAGGAATGAATAAATGCGTAAATTGATGGGTACAGAGAACTATATCAGACAAATGAATAGAATGACAGATAAATAGGTATATCAAATATATGAATTAATAAGTGGATGAATTACAGATGAGGAAAATATATATTATATATTTATTTACAAACATACATAAATAAATAAATAGATAAAAAAAAAAAAAAAAAAAAAAAAAAAAAAAAAAAAAAAATATATATATATATATATATATATATATATATATATATATATATATATATATATATATATATATATATGTGCATATATATATATATATATATATATATATATATATATATATTCAGACACTATTGAACAAGAACTAATCTCTTCCTCTCTTAACGAAATTCGTCTGGGTCTTAGTCCCTCCTACACGAGCGCACGACGACCCACCCTGTTCGTGTCTGTAGAGGTACTCGTCGATCTGCTGCTGCGTGAGGACCTCGGGTTCCTTCGAAGTGTCCAAGGGCCCGACACCCGTCATCCCGGCCCCTCCTCCTCCTCCGCCGCCTCCGCCTCCTCCTCCACCTCCTCGGTCTCCTGTGGTGCTCTCCGCATCGCTGCTTACAAGGTTCTCGCAGGACTGGAGGGGGGGGAGAAAAGGTAAATTAGAAGACGAATTCTATAATGTGCTTGAAAAAAAAAAATGTGTCAATGAAAGTTGATAAAAATTGCTAAATGTACGATACGTAATTAACGCGTGTCATCTAAATCATACAATTCTAATAAAAAAAAAAGATAAAAAAAAAAAAATATATATATATACATATATATATATATATATATATATATATATATATATATATATATATATATATATATATATATATATATATATATAGATAGATAGATAGATAGATAGATAGATAGATAGATATAGATATATATAGATAGATAGATAGATAGATATATAGATATATATCATTCAGATACATATTTCGTATTGCGTTCATACACATTCACCACAAATAACCCAGAGCCTACAATATTCTTTACACAAATCCAAAGCCTGATTTCCAGCGTGGATTCGCAATGACTCCCCCACCCTTTCATCTCTCCCTTCCACTGTTTTTTTTTTCTTTTCTTTCTTTTTTTCTCTTTTAATTCCCAGCAAATCATTACGAAATCGCTTTCCCTCCATTCAGACACACGCCAGACACACTTGCTCACCCTACCCCCCCTACCCCCCACTCCCACCACCCACCCACTCCCTCCTACCCCCCCCCCCCCCTCCTATCCCAGAGAGCGCCCCCCCCCCTCCTCCTCCTCCTCCTCCCGGCCACAAGGAAGTACAAAAATGTTTCCATCTGCTAAAGCTGCCTCGCCTCGATTATTATTTACTCTGCTCTCTCCTCCTCTCCTCCTCTCCTCCTCTCCACCTCTCCACCTCTCCTCCTCTCCTCCTCTCCTCTTCTCCTCCTCTCCTCCTCTCCCGCCCCGGCCGCTGCAGGAGAGAGAGAGAGAGAGAGAGCGCGTCAGCAGGATCAGGCTGGGCGGCCGTGCGGAGGAGGAGGAGGAGGAGGAGGAGGAGGAGGAGGAGGAGGAGGAGGATGGAGATAAGGATGGGGATGAGGATGAGGATGAGGAGGAGGAGGAGGAGGAGGATGGGGATAAGGATGGGGATGAGGAGGAGGAGGAGGAGGAGGAGGAGGAGGAGGAGGATGGGGATGAGGATAAGGATGAGGAGGAGGAGGAGGAGGAGGAGAGAGAGGAAGAGGGAGGAGGTGATGGGGATGAGGATGAGGATGAGGATGATGATGGTGATGATGATGAGGATGAGGATGAGGATGAGGATGAGGAGGAGGAGGAGGAGGAGGAGGAGGAGGAGGAGGAGGAGGAGGATGGAGATAAGGATGGGGATGAGGAGGAGGAGGAGGAGGATGGGGATGGGGATGGGGATGAGGATAAGGATGAGGATGGGGATGAAGATGAGGATGGGGATGAAGATGAGGATGGGGATGAGGATAAGGATGAGGATGGGGATGAGGATGAGGATGAGGATGGGGATGAGGATGAGGATGGGGATGAGGATGAG